ACTAGATTGAAGAACAAAACGACAGCAACTAGTCTGTTCCCCTTCCCCCAATTCCCCAGCACTGTTCCCATCCCCCCAATTCCCCAATAAAAAAATTTTTAAAAATCTTAAAAAAAAAGAATGACTCCAAGGTTTTTGGTCTGAACAACTGGAAAGATGGAACTTTCACAGAAACTTGTGGTCTTCCTAATAGATTTGGAAAAGACTAAAAATAGAATAAGTATATGTTGAATAAGAGGGAAGGTCAAGAATTTGGATATTTAAATTTTTAGAAATCTACTATACATCCAGCTGGCAACGGAAAGTGGCAGTTAGATCTACAGGATTTAAGTTCAAAAAAAAGATTTGGGCTAGAGATATAAATTACAATTTGTCAGCATATACAGGAAACTGACCAAAATCACCAAAGAAAGCATAAATAAAGGACAAGCAAGGTCTTGACCTGGGGACATTCCAATGTTGAAAGCTTAAGAGATGGTGATCCAGAAAACGAGACTAAGAACAAGTGAAAAGTGAGATAAAAGAAAACAGAGAATAAGATATGCTGTGTTGAGGGTCGTCAAGTGAAGAAAGAATATCAAGTACTCTCCTTAGCCAACTTTCAACTTAATCAACTCTTCCATGGTTGTAATTCATCACTTAATTAACTTAATTGCAATGCATGATTTCCTTTCATTCTGCTTTTATTATACTTTCTATTTATTGTTTTGCCTCTTCTCATGCTCTGATGCCTTTCTACCAGTAGTTTCATGCCCATATTCTAAAGCTGTAGTAATAAGACACGGAACACAAAAACCAAAGGTTACTTGCTTAAAATACAAGTGAATCTACTCAAAATACCTGCCCGCATTTTTATTTAAACAAAAAAAAAACATATTTAATTAAAATAACTTACTTGAAGAAAGCAATTAACAGGTTCACCATGATGATATATTGCACGAAGAGGTAGACAGCTTGGAGGAATGGAGTCAGAAAAGAACCGGGAGGACAGGATGGCTTACTGGAGCAAACTACAAAAAAAGAATGACATAAGATGACTCTAAATATTTAGCACATTAACTTAGCAGAATACCACAATTTTTTTATATTTTTAAGATCCAGATGATTATTTTCCTGATTTTTTTTATTCTGAGTATCTACAAAAGCTCAATTTCTGTATGATGACAAAAATCTCCTACACACCATCTATTTCTGATGCATAGACTTCTCCATACATCATCCAGTATGGTTCAAACACAATATCTCGAGCGAGGCTCCAAGATGGAGGTTCCTTTGGAGAAAGAATGGCCTTGCGTGCCACTCCAAAGCTCAGCAGGACTATGGCCATTATGATCACAATGTAGAACATGTTTGCCGTCTGTAAAAGTAGCACAACACAACCAGAATTTTACTACAGATTTGACATTTAAAACAAATCAAACATGAGCAACCATCATAATCATACCTGCCAATAATATGACTGTCTAGTCATTAACCAAAATGCCCTAGTCCATGAATAGTTGGATTTCCTTTGGCTAAACCATTTTGTTTTCTCTGCACAATATGTGTTTCATGTCAATGTAGTTTATGGAAATAACATAACTTTGTAACTCTTTGCTAACAAAGAGAATTTGTTCTTTTTTTTAAGAAGTAATGAAATGTGAACAGCTTTCGATTTGCTAATATCCAACTTTTCACCAATTGGGCCAAAGTTTAGGGAAAGAAAAAAATAGAGATACTCAAATTAGTAAAACGGTTCCTTATTCCCACAATTATCTTCAAGAACTGATTGGAGTCTGAGAAATGCATCAGGCAAAGAATCTGCTGAAGAACTCCAAGCTACTGAGCACACTGATGAAGGGGAGGATCCCAAAACATGCAAAAAGTAACTGTGAAATGATGTTTGTTAAATCCAATGGTTCATAACTGCCACTTAGTCTTTGTATTAAAAGTAAGACTTATTGTTATAATACACAATAGAGGGCTGCTTACAGAACACTGACCTTCGTATTATCGTTTTTTAAGGCCCTTCTAAATAATTCATTTCACTTACTAAATGTACATGAACTCAACCCATTTGCTTACCATGGCAGAGACAATTATTCCATGAGTATTCTATGAGCTTTTCTACATTTCTTAGCCTTTCTTCCATGAGGCTAGGGCCATGTGACCTATTCTGGCCCATGGGCTATGGAGTGACAGTGAATTGAGTCACCTCCTGTCCAGAGCAGTTAAAAGTTAAAAGCCATAAGACTTTCTCCATCCCTCTCACTCCTTCTCATAGGAGACCTTAGAAGCCACATGCTGACATTACTATGTCATAAGATGGAAGAATTCTGGATCCCTGAGTCACTGGGTAGAGGATGGCCACCATGAGCACTCATTAAGCTTTGCATTAGGGAAAAAAATAAACTTGTGCTAACTCGCTGAGATATATCAGTCACCTCAGCAGAGCCTATCTAACTAATACCAATGTCACCAAGACCAGAGAGAACAGTGTTGGTCTAAAGAGAAGTGTGAAGAAAAAGTCTATCTTTGGAATCGTGGAGGTTCTCCCTTTTCTGTCCTCTTCTTTTGTTTCAGCACTACACTTCCTTTGCAAGAACTTGCCAGTGAGTATTCTAGAAGAAAAACCAAAGATGATCTTGACATACTGTACTTCCTAGGGGGTGAGTCTTAGGCCCTTTGCAAAGCCAGATGAACAAGGCTAATAAAACTGCACAGTGAGTGCCAATGACAGACAGAGCCAGGTGGCCCAGATTTGAATCCTGGCTCCCCTACTAATACCCTTGGGAAATTCACTTAATCTTCATTTCCTTGTTTGTAAAATGTGGATAATAGTACCTATCTCATAAAGGTGTTTTGAAGAGTAAACGAGTTAATATATACTAAGTATTTAGAACAGGGTGTGACCCACCGTAATCACTAATTAAGAGTTGGATGGGGATGAAGAAATACAAAGATAAATCAATATTTTAGCAAAAAAAATATTATTGGTGGTAGCCTCACACAAATCTGGCCCTTGGGAATTATTGTGCTGAGAGACAAATTTGATTCAATCCCATATCATCTGCCCTTACCCCAAGAGAATTCTCGTTAAACTGAGAATCCTAATCAACTACCCCATATGTTATCCAAGGACATTTGTTAAATATGAGTTTGTGGTTATAAGGAAAGCAGTGATGAAATGATCTTGCTTTCTGTGCATCTATAAATAATTTCAAAAGTTAAATTACTGAATGAGAACCATGAAATTAGGCAGAAATGTTAAAAAAGAACACCAGAATATACAAGCAGACTCTACTCACCATTTTTGCAATCATGGTCACGTATGGACCTGCGTGTTGATTCACAGCAAAGAAGTCCAGGAGTCGTGAGAACCAGAATATGATGTCAATGCAGTATATAAGTCTCCCCGCTGTGTGGAAAGGAGGGTCACCCCACCGAAGGCTGAAGCCAACCAAAAACAGGCCAGTAGCCACAGTCTCCATGAGGTTCCAATACTCACTAATCCATACCTTTACCTTTTGAGTAAACTTCTCAGGTTCTGAAATACAGACCTAAAAGAAGAAAGAGAGAAACTTAAAGAATGCGGTATAATGCAAGAGTCTCATCAATATCATCTTCTTTAATGCATCAACCGCTCATTTAAAGAGTAATTTGAATCCTGCCAAATCTTCGATCACAAGGGGATTTTGGTGACTTAATTTATCCTCGGGTAATGAATTATTTAAACAATTCTATAAATATAATTTAATGTCACTGTTAGTGCTAGCCAGCTATTTGAAAACCCAAACAGAACCATTTTTTTAAGTAATTTTTCTAGTTTTCATTAATCCTAAGCTAACACAGGGAAACTCCAAGACATTTTAAAATGTAATATTGCAGTATATAGTGATGATTTCATTTCATGAGGTACAGCCAAGAGCAAAGAAAACTAGTTTGAAATCAAAAATTCTATAATCTGGTCCTACTACTGCTCTTTAGTGAGTTGTTGACAAATTACTCAGAATGTGATATTAGAACTCACCATTATAAGAAATTACCCTGCAACAGAATATCAGACAAACTGATGATTGTAAAATAGTAAACCTATTTTCTCCAAGGCATTAAAATGGTAGAATTCAGATAACATTTTTCTCCTGAATTATTTTGTATAATCTATAAACTTCACAATAGTAACTAGCAGACACTATAGGTATAACTACTAAGAATACATTTTCTTAATATATAATATTGGTCACATTAACTCTAGGAGAAAAAAATGTACATAAATGCATAGACAGAGGTAGCTATACAAGGTGTGATCAAATAATATGGTGAATGTTTAAATTTTAAAAATTATTACAATAAAAGACACATTGCCATTAATCCCCCTCCTTCCCCCCCCCCCAATACTCCCCTTCACTTCAAACACACTTATCCCATCGCACTTGTGGCTTTCTGAAGCAGCTCTGGGAGTCCTCTTTCATAAGTGTCTTTAGTTGCACTGTCATGGCTGCCTCAATGTCCTGAATCATTTTGACTTGGGGGAAGACCCAGAAGTTGCACGGTGCCACATCCAGTAAATAAGGTGGATGAGGACACACCATAATGTTTATATTTGACAGAAATTGCCATATACCAGAAGTGATGTGTGACACAGAGCATTGTCATGATGGAAGATGATGTATGGCACACTTAAAAACACACCTTCTCTCAACCGTAGCTCACACCCAACTGACTGCACCAAACAAGTTGAACCTTGTCACTCACTATTGCTAAGGTTTGATGTGCCACTTCCCGTATTGAAGATACCTGCCTTTCCATTGCATGGCACTCAGCAGCAGCATTCACTGTATATTTTGATCACATGGAAAGGCTCCATGTTACACATTAATTCTGGTATGGCAATTTCTGTCAAATATTAAAAAAAACATTGAAGTGTGTCCTTATTCACGTTATTCATGAGATCTGGAATCTTGAGACTTCTGACTCTTCCCCAAAGTCAAAATAACGATGAAAGATAAACATTTTGAATCAATTCAGGATGTTGAGACAGCCATGACAGCACAACTAAAGACACTCATGAAAGAGGACATCCAGAACTGCTTCAGAAAGTGGCATAAACAATGGGATAAGTGTGTTTGAAGTGAGGGGGAGCATTTTGAGGGAGATTAATGGCAATGTGTCTTTTACTGTAATACATTTTTTTTTAATTTAAACATTCACTGTGTTTTGTGATCACATCTTGTACATATATCTACAACAGTCATAACTGTGTATGATTGCAGATATAACTGCATGGAAATGTTCTCTTTTTTTTAATATCTCATTGCAAACTAGAGACAAAAATGTTGTCTTGTTTGTTCCTTGGACTACTTGCCTCAGAAGGATTTTCAGCTTCAATTTTCAAAGGTATTTAGTAGGATCTTTTAAAGCTATAAATGAAATCTTTACTTATTATATAACTTTGACCATCTATGTGCCACTCTGTGAGATAAACTGATAATATGCAAGTCATGCTACGCTATGAAAAATCAATCTCATTTAAGCAAACACACACACACACTCTTCCAGAAAATCAAATAGTTGGAGGAGCTAATAACAAATAGATAGCATCACTCAAGTACTGAAAAACACATTAAGATGTCCTTGAAAACAACTGCTTTCAAAGACAGCAGCCAGTAGAAAGTCTTTAGCAAGGAGAAAGGTTTGCGATCAGAGATTTTCCCCTAAATAGCCTTCCTGTAGCACACAGATCAGGATCAGCATTGTCTGTCTTACCATCACCCTTGACCTGTCCATTTTCATCACCAGAGCTCAGAACACCTCTAGCAGAGGTGTGTAGAAGACAAAAGTAGAAGGAAGGGATAGCTCACCTCCCGGGCTTTCTCAATGGCGTTGGTGAAGATGTAAATGATAACGAGCCACTCTTGTACACTGGGTTTACGCTGCATCTCCACCAACACAGTAAAAGTGAACAGCATGAGGAATGCCAAATACGCCATCTGTGAGGGGGACACACATTCCCTGGACATGAGTGATAGTCATGATGGAGGAGGCCAAGCAGACATGGACCAAGCTGAGCAGAAACACACACAAACTTCAACGTGGTAACATGAAAATACAACTGGGACCACCCTCTGATTATTGATGACCTAATATTAAGGAAAACACAAGAATCCTCAGTTTTCTATTCCAGGATTAAGTGGCAGAAATGAAAAAAATCACTGTTCTCAAATGCATAGGAAGGGGTCCCTGTCTCATCTTCTTAGCTCCTGACCAGCATTTCCAGAACCCTGCCTATTCCAACATGGGCACTTTCAGGACAACAGCAACCCAAGAGGGAATCACACACCTTCCCTCCATTTAAACAGAGAAAATGTGTGCCAAGCACACCAAATGAGTAGCCTCAGTAGGTGCCTATATTCAAATATAATAAATCATGGCATTTACTACTGCTTGGAGTTTTACTTACTATTTATTAAAATACTCTCTGGTTAGTGGGAAAGTATCATCCAACTGTGAGTCCTTGTAACTAGACTGTTGATATTTTTATTTTCAGTGCTCAGCACTCAGCCTGACACATAGTAGGCATTCAAGAAATGTTTAATTGCTAACTGTATATTAAACCTAGATTTCCAAACTCCTCTAAGAATTAAAACACAGTAAACACACACACACACATACACATACTGATAATAGCTTTGTAATCTTTTCTAACACTTTTACCTTCTTGAGATACATTCCCAGAAGTAGAAGAGCTGAGCTCTTCTTACACACATTTAAAACTGTGACACATATTATTGCCCACCAGAAAGGCTTTACCAATTTCCATGATCACCAATAACGCATGAGATGGTACAACCTTTTAAGTAGCTTCAGAGACAATACACAATGCTAGTTGATCAATACTTGTATTAAAAATCCCTGATCAGGGCCGGCCGAGTGGCACAATGGTTAAGAACTGGCTTGGGACGCCAGAGGGCCCCGGTTCGGATCCCACATATGAGGGTCAGTGACACTGCTCTCTACAGCTAAGATGCTGAACAACAGCTCAACCTGGAGCTGGGCTGC